TCAGGTGGGGAAAAGCAGCCATATTGAGATTGGAAAAGATCCATGGAGAAAGGAAACATTGATTTCCAGGGTGGTCCTCAGCTTCCTGTTAGTGCTGTCTCTTAGTTGCTGGCACACAGAAACTGCAGGGAGTGTCTGGGTCAAGTGATGTCATCAGGGAAAAGAAAAGGAGGAGGAAGAAGAAGAAGACAAAAACAAACACCACCCTTTCCCAGAATTCCTTCTTTAGTTTTCAGGCCTATGTCAAGATGAGAAACGTTTAAATCCCTTTCCTGATCCCTGAGAATGCTAGCAGCCATTGTTTACATAATATCCTCATATACAGGCTGAGATCAAATGCTGGCTGAGCGATTCTTTGGAGTCATTTTATTCCATATCAGATTCTTCAGAGACAGTCACTTCTTCTCCAGAAGGAGAAGAAAAGCTTAGATTTTCACTTGTTACCTACGCTAAGGGAAGGTTAGCAAGAAGGTACTTGTTCACACTTGCTTGTAATTTCTCGGAGGATAGCTCAACAGTTAAAGGGTCAACTCATTTGACTCTAGCGCTGATGCCTGGGACAGGGAGCTAAATTAGTCACTCTCCCTGACAGTAATTCTTAAAAAAGCAAATACAAATGAATAAAAACCGCCTTATATGTTGCTAAAGCAGGTTACGTTATTCAGTGTCAGAGTACCAACGTTTTCTTTTGGAATTTGACTCCTTAAGACTTTAGAGAATGGCCTTAGATAGTAATTGGCAAATGAAGGGAGAAGCCAACTTCTAAAGTCTTTCAGCACAGTTGCCCAAATTACCACGACTGTTGCCAGGTGCCTCGTCCACAAAGACTGGCCAAGATAGGTTCTTATTGTGAGGAAACCTGAAAGGGCTGGATTGTGTTGCCAAGGAAACCATCTTCCCTAGAGATGTCAAGAATAAATGGGTATCTGTGCTGTTGGATATGCCTGAGTGACAGTCCTCCCCAGAGGTAGATAAATGAGCCATGTGACCTCTGGAGATTTCTCTTAGGCTCAGGCCTACACAGTCTAAAGAATACAGAAGAATCTCAAACCTCCCATTATTCACGCTTAGTTGGCTTCTGTGAATATCTTTAAGAAGATTAAGCTGTTTTAAGTTACCTGATGGGCATGACTAGAGCCTAACAAATCAGGCTTTGGGTGGCGTACCCTGGCAGTAGACTGTGATTAATGGTGGTAAAAAACAAACAAACAAACAAACAAAAACCAAACAACAACAAAACCACCACCACCACCAAAAAACGGACTTCTGTAGCTTTTGAAATTTAAAATCTATCAAGTCCAGATATTATTTGGGTACCATCAGATCACTCAGGTAGAAACACTATTTTTTCTTTTAAGGGCAACAATTTGTTTCCTAGCTTTAGGTATTTTTTTTTCCCTCTTAAGGAGAATTTGGATTTAAAGTTGAGTACTTTCTTTTCTTCATATTTAAATAAACTTTCATAATTCACATAGTTATTTGAATTACCTTTCAATACCAGTGGCATTTCTAAGAAAAGAGAGACAGATTGGCAGCCAACATGACAAAGAGGGCAAAGCAATATTGGATACAATGTACTACAAATTCCCTTTCAATATTTCTCCAACACAGAGATAACAATCAAACTATCAGAGGGAGCATGACGCAGACGATAGTCTAAGTAGTCTTATTTTGTGGGCACTACGGCATGGTCCAGATAGGATTACCTAGATAATTTTAACAAGACATCTTAAAGTTCATTTTTTTTAAGTACTCAGTAATAAATAACTTTTAGGTTTAGTCCAAGCCCGATAAAAATATTGGAACTGAGATAAAAAGAAATTAGACATTTAACTATGGAAATATTTTACAGTTACAGCTAAAAATCAGGAAAGTCACGTAAATCAATTTTGACAAAAGCAAGGCCAATTTCCATCCAATTTAACTCCTCATAGCCCTTTCTAATCAATATACATTATCCTTAAAAATACTTAGATGGCCTTGCACATGTGACAAAATCTGTAATTTGAACTGACTGTACTATCAGTATGCTGAGGAGATAGTGTGACACATTCCAGTGACTGCTGAGCACAAATGCTGCCTAAAATAACATTGATCATCCTCCTTTACAAAGTTGGTTGTGCCAGCTTTTGTGAAAGATGAAATAAAATAACAATAGAATTGTCTTCTCTTGAAATGTAAGCAAGCATGAAGGGTCAGATACAAAGCAATCATCCTCTATAGTGAGAGGCTAATGGCAAGGAAAACAAACAAACAAACAAACAAACAAAAAAAAAACCAACAGAAACCAACAGGATGTAAGTCTTTGGAGTGAATTCTTTTCCCTTATGTAAGAAATATCTCTGTGTACTATATTAAAAGTATTAGAAAACCTACCTATAAACAACAAACTAAAAAGGCATTCCAGTTTAGGTTCTGGAGTTCATTCTTACTCTCACCATTCCCCTTCTTTTGTCTGATTTAACACACTCAGAATGGAAACCCCAGGGCAGGCAAGAGAGTATACAGTTGGACTAACCCTTCTATGACCAACAGAGAAAACCCAGGCAGTACCAAGTGTCCAGGTGTAACTTTCTGATACCTGTGCTATTTAGGAACTGAGCCTCAGGGTCTTGATTGAGAATTCATAAGAGAAACTGAGGGAAAGCTTACAAGTGACTTGTTTTAGAGTCACATTTGTTAAAGAATTTTCTCTCTTTTGTCAACATTAGTCACTTAGTCATTTAGTGTTAAGTGTGTGTGTTTGAAGACTTTCCTCAGATTGCTGGAGGTCTGTGTTCTTATATTTTAGAGAATGAACCATAACTGCTTTGGATATTGGCCACTAAATGTGAACAGCAGCTGGGGTCAGCCACATCAGAACTGACCTTTCTGGGTTTGGGGTACCTACCACTTATGTTCTGTGCACTACCCCCAGTCTAACTCTGCTGAGATATATTAATAGTTTATAGCTGATACCATCACATCCAAACTTACATCACATTTGAACACCTATCCTGTCCCTTTCACAATTTTAAGAGCTTTTAAGTTGTGGTTCTTTAGTCAATTAAGTTTTGCCATGCTACAGAACATATCTGTTGAGCTGAACTGTGCATGCAAAGCTGTGACATTTAAGTGACTCCAACACAAGTTCTCAGTTCTTGGAAAATGATGTGATAAGAAATTTCAATTTCGTATTAGGAGTAAAAGTGAGCAGCCCTTGCACATTAGTGGTTGGTCACGGTAATGATACAACAAATAGTTACGATTTCAAATTACAGTCATTTTGACCTTGCAAGCATAAAGTTGCCTTCCATTTATACTCGGCTGTAATGACTGTAAACTGTCACTGGATTGTAACTATAGCTAAAAGGAGGGGTCAATAATGATCTCCTCTCATTTTTTTGTCTGCTTCCAGGCAATGAATAAGAGGGTCGTGTCCTACAATGCTTCTTAAGTTCCCTGGGTTCTGAATAAACCAAATCCCCTCCAGAAACTGGTGGGAGTTTACTGGCATAAATTTGACGTTTTTCTTTATACAGTTCTGCACTCAAGAAACAATAAAAGAGATGAAGTGGATTAGGCCGATCAGGGCACTTGACTTGCAAATCCACTTGACCAGTATAGCTGGGAATAAAATCTTTAAAACAATAGGGTCTGGAGCTTTGTATTTGACAGTGCATGACTTGGAAACGTGTGCACAGAAGACTCTGATTTTTTAGATATACTACAGAAGCAACACAACAGCTTCAGGTCATGTCATGGTGCCTTGGTGCAGTGACTTAAAGTGTCCTTTTGAAGAGCAGAAACTACTGTAGCAATTGCCTCACATGTGGGCAGTTTTTGCCAAGTAAGTCTACTGATGGGAAGAAAAACCCAGAGGGGTCTCAGCTCCCACTGGGAAAGGAAATCACAGTGAAATTCCTCATTAATACAAGTTGTAACTTTAGCCCAATATTTTCAATCAACTTATTTAAAAAATGTCCTCTGTTTATATTTTTAGATAAAACACAGCTTGTCTGTACTGCAGGGACTAACTATCCAGCACTCATTACTAGCTAACTGCCTAACATCCGTCCCACTCTACCGCTTGGTGTGTAATACAGCTAAAGCATGGGGGATTATATTCGTTATTGCTGAAATAGGTAGCTTGTACCTGTTCTGATTTGTGAGGGATGTCTACTTAGGTATGTGAAAAGTTTGGAATGGAGGCTTTCATGCTTAGAGAGGTGATTATCCTTAGCTGAGTGAGACTTTCTATCCCAGCTGAATAGAGAGAGGAAGAAAGCTCTGTTTTTTTAAGTATCCTTTTGGGAAAAATAAAGCTACAAAAGAGAAACCCAGCCAAAATTAAAAAAAAATGCAGGCTTCAAACCTTGTAGAAGTAAAGCTGGGTGAAATAAACATATCTGAGGATTCAGGAACTGGACCGTCAGTCCCTGCTTCAACTCCACCATTGTCAGGGTTGCCGTTTACCTCCTGGCACTCTGCCCTAAGACTATCCTGAGAGTGCCTCACCAAGTACTTCCAGAGTTTGGAGTGGTCTAGCAAATATGGAACACAGAATTCTTTCATTTGCTTGAATGGAAGAACAATAGCCTTTTGTCGTTTCCTCTTTGAGCCCCTGCTCTTTAGACTGCGTAGGCAGGGGCCAAGGAAACTGGAGGTCAAACACAAAAAATGGTAACACTGCAGATAACTCTGGACATTCTACCATGATCAGAGCAAGTTCCCATCAGATTAGCCCCATCAACCTACCAAAAGGAGAAGGCCACCCCAATTTCTGCTTTCTATACCATGACAAACCCGAAGTGCTTTTAATGTTAGCAATGGTGCTAATTTGGCCTTGAGGAGGCATAGAGAAGGGCAGGCACTGACTCCATAAGCAAGTACACTTTCTCCACTTTGAGTTTAAATAAAAACTGCTTCCTGGAGGACTCTGAAGCATGTTCAAGATTGATCAAAAAAAAAAAAAAAAAAAAGCTTGTTATAAAGAAATAAAATCTGTGAGATATTCAATTGCCCAAGATTAGGAGACTTTAAAAAAATGAGGGTGCAGTTACTACATAGCAGCGTGTATCGACATTTTAAATAGTTATAAAACATATGAAATGATGGAACAATAAAATGTCAAAACTGGAAAAAGGATTCAGCCTAACCATTGCACTGGGGGAAATCACAGCACTTGCTCTACAGATGCTTAAGCTTATAGGAAAGGCTGCTCAAAGTTCCCTCAGGAATCAATGGTGCATGTTTCCTTTCTATCCACGTTCCTCATTAAGTAAGAGAACATGAGGGGGCTGCCTTGGCAATGCATTCTGAACTGTGCCATGAAGTGTCCCAGGCAAGACAAATAGATAAAAATGCTTCAGGAAAGTAAGGCCTAATAAGTACACAAGTACAGGCCTGCCTTCAATCAGCTGGTCACTAAGTGGAAATACCACTACACGTTTCCGCTTTTGTAGAGATTGGTTGATCCCGGATGTAGAACAGACTGGTTGCTGAGGCTGTATTCTCAGCTTTCTCTGTGTCAGGACTGAGTTAGGTCCTCAGAGCAGTGAAAGAACACACCCTCATGTCACTGGAGGAATCCTCCATCTCTACCGTATGAACCTTACAGTGGTTAGCATTTATTATAATAAAAAAAATTATTTTAACGCTCTCTGAGACCCCATCCCACATTTGGTACCACGAAGGGGCACTAAAGTGCATTGTGGTGGAGGGGGTAGAGTTTAAAGGTGCTGTCCAAGCTGATAAACAAGATGACACTGTTTTAAAAAGAAAGGCAATTCCATCTATTTTGGCTGAGGGCGGGCAGTGTATGAGACCCTCACCAGAGGATTGTCCTAACTCTTAACTTTAGAGAAAACGGCATAAGGACCTGCACATTTGACTCATTTATCCCAAATAGCAAAAATAAGCCCATTTCATCCTTAAGAAATTATTTGCAAATCTGCTCAGTCATAATAGTAAAAATGTGGGTGGATTCCAGATGCAATCCTTGTGGGCATGCTCTGTGGTGCTAGCTAACACATCTTCAGCTTCAATGAACATGCTGTTCATTTTCATCAAAGCATGATTTCTAAACTACCATAAATAAAATACACAGGAAACGATTCAATCTGTTTTTCTTACAATAATTACTTTTACATTAAAAAGTCACCATCATCTCCGGATATATCGAAAATTAGGACTCTAAATCGGAATTTTTTTTTGTTTTTGTTTTTTTTTGTTTTTGTTTTTAGTCTTAGTCTTAACAATCTTGCACAGGCCCGATAATCTAAAACTCGGAGCTATGATCTGCATAGCTTGGCAGGTTTCACACAGTTTGACAAGGTAGGCAACTGTGAGATAATGCATTTTTTTTTCTTTTAAATTTAGCATTTTCATTTTCTATCAAAACAGTTCAAAATCGTTTAAAATCCCCAGGGCGACTGTTATTTGTGCCACGCCACAGTTAGGAAGCTAGAAAGGAAGGAAGGGAGGGAGGGAGGGAGGAAATACTGTCTGGGAGATTGATCGCGGTCCATATTTTCTTGGTCTTCCAGGTCAGACAAGGATGAGCCCAGCAAATGCAATATGGCGCCTTAAGTAGAAGACTTAAGCGACTAAACGGGAACCGTCTCCACCACCGGGGACTTGATGCTCTTTTCTGCGAGGCTCAAGGGATTTTCTGCAGGGTGCTCTGGAATGTGGCCATCGCCCTTCAAGGTGGAGACAAAGCCTTCCTGGGAAGGGCCTTTCAAGTATGAGTGAAATTCCACTTGGGGAAGATTGGACCTGTGTTCAGGATATAAGGTGTTACAGGGCACCCCACTCTCGTTTTCAGAAGTGGGGCAGCAAACAATGACGGAAGGGTTGGCAGCTGGGTAGTGGGAGGCCCCGTAGGCCTCGCCTGCTTGTCTGGCATAGTCAACGAACCGCTCTGGGGTCATGGCGTAAGGCACCAGCGAGAGGGCACCGTTTTTGACAGTATCTCTTTCAGCGTAGTTGTCAGAGATCTGGCTAGGAGTTCCAGGGATGTGGCTGTCTATTTGGTAGTACAGAGTTGAAGAGCTAGCGTAAAACGAAGCATTTTTTGTGTGGCCTTCATGGACCGCTGTGCCGTCGGAGTAACAAAGGACAGAAGGAAGCGGGACGACTTCAGTGTGGCCCCCGAGCCCTTCTACAAAGCTGTCTCCCTTCTCGTCCTCGTCGTCTTCCTCCTCCTCTTCCTCTTCCTCCTCCTCTTCCTCTTCTTCCTCATCCGATTCGCTGGGAGCCAGGCTTTGTGTGCTGGAGTCAGTGACTCCGCTGCAGAAGCTGCTTCCGTCCTCCTCCTCTTCCTCCTCCTCTCCTTGGCAGTCCAGTTCGTCCTGCAGGTGCAGCACCGCAGCCTGGGGTTCAGTTTCAATCTCAAAATTGTCTGCGATGGAGTATTCTACGGAGTGAGCGACAGGGCCCATGGAAGCGCTGTGGGTGCTTATCTCACCGTGGCAGCCGTTGAGCGTGGGGATTTGCTGCTCCCGGTTTTTCTCCAGTTCAAGTTTCATTATTGTGTGCAAGAAATGAGTCCGGACACGGATAGGATTAAATTCAATTCTACCTGCTGTGTTACTACAGCCTTCTTTAGTGCAGCCACATGGGAAAGACATACGATCCACCTTGGAAGGAAGAACACAGATTAGCACCGTGGAACTATTACAGACCAAATAAAATCAAGGACTTCCTAACAGCTCCTCGGAATTAAGTAAGGCACTCGAGTTCTACTCATGTCGCAGCCAGTGACAGATAAGTTGCTAGCGAAAACAAGCAGGGGAAGTGAAGACTTACGTTACACCAACAAACTGGTTTTTAAATGCATGTTCAAGAGAGTGGTGGACTGAGGATAATGGAGAATTTAAAATTCGTCACGCCCTCCAGGGCTTTTCCTTCTCTCTTCGCGTTTGATTTTGTTCCCGTTTTTGCATCCCTTCTGTTGCATTCCAACTCACCCCCCTCCTTTTAAGTCACGCGCGCACTGTTCCCTTGGAATCCGACTCTGATCTAGCTTGCATGTTCTTTCCTTTTATGAGGGGACCTTCCCTGCTCCAGGTGTCTGGGATGCCACTACGTAGGGGCATACAATGCTCTACTGCTAACACCTCAGTGCTCTGTCTTCTCAGTGGGCCCTTGCTATGTGGGTGCAGGTCCTCTTGCCCTGCTTCCCACTTGAGAAGAGAAGCCTAACTCACATGGACTTAGCCTGTGCCAATAAATGCAACAGCAGGGAACCTGGAGGCCTGTAAGCTGACCAGCCCAGGCAACTTAGTAAAACCCTTTCTCAAAATAATACATTTTAAGAACATTAGCTCAGTGGGGGAGGGGAGGATAGTGTACTTGTCTATTATGTCTACCGGGAAGCACACTCAAAACACAATAGAAAGAAAGGAGGCAGGAGTGGAGGGTGCCAAATATGCTTTCATCAGTTTCCTGGAAGGGAACTGTCCTCTGCTTTCAGGGGCCCAGGCGACTTTCTCTTTTTAAATGAGCGGAGCTATTTCTGCACACAGTAAGAACAGGTAAACACTGAATTTCTGATGGACGGGACCAGAGAATCACCTTGTCCAGGAATTGGGGAATGGTTGCTTCTCTCTTTAATTAGTTTTACTCTTGAAGCTTTTAAAAGTGTAGTCGCCCAGGTGAGGCTGGTGAAGATATTTCCCACTGTCTTTCATGAGAACTCAAGTTTCAAGTGCTGTTGAATGAGACAGACTTTTCACTGTTACAAAGACATTTCCAAAATTGTAAAAGTCCTCTCCTTACTTCCTCATGTCCCTCAATCCAATGTTGTCTTCATAATCACGCAGATGCCCCTTTCTTGTTAAGGAAACCTTAGCGGCCCCAAATAAGGGCTGCAAATTGTAACTTCATTTTATTTTTCTTCAAAAAAGCGTAGGAGAACACTTTGGGGGACAGGGGGCCTGCAGCCATGTTTCTCAGTACAGTAAAGAGTGAAATCCGTCACAGGCAACAAATAAACAAAGTGGCTGCGACTCAGAAAACCTTGTTTACAAAAAAATGTGTCTAGCTAGATTCCACTGTGAGTTTGACAGCATCTCAAGCTGCTCACCATAGAAATGCCAGAACCCAAAGTGTTTACCCGACATGCCTACTTCAGACAAGGCAAGAATGCAACCCGCTCTCTCGGAGTCTGACTAGGAACTTCTCGAATAGTCTATACCACCGGTGATGGTGATGAGTCGTTACTTTATACCCCATGGATGGACCGAAAAATATGAACTCAAGTGGAATACACAGCGTCCTCTCCCAGACTCCATGTAGAAAAGCTAAACTAAGCGAGTTTAATGACCGAATCTGAGAGGAACTACCTTCAGCGAACTCGGTTGCAGTTTGAGCTGTCATTCACAGTATACACAGCATGAATAAAGCATTTTACGAATGCCCTTGAATCAGGGTTTCTTTCCCCTTGAATCACGTGTCTCTCCCCGCCAGTGTTTTCCTCTTCGGTTAAACAATGCGTGATGCACAACATGGCCGCTTCTCTCTGCGGTGGTATGTGACACCTTTTCTTCAGATGCCCTGAGATCCCGGCCCTTACCTGACACTTGATGCCTGCCAGGCTGCAGGTACATGTTTCTGGATCACAGAACACTCTGCAGTCACAGCCGCAGTCCTCCCGAGACAGGCGGATGGCTCGCAGCTCGTGCTTTTCTTCCACGTCAATCTTCTTCACTCCGGAGGCTCGCAGCAGGGCTCTCCGTTTTTTCGTGGGCAGGGGCTGCAGGAAGAAGTATTCGTCTACCTCTGTGTTGTCTAAATCAATGTCATCATCGGAAATGTCATCCACGGTCAGAGTGCTGGCTTCTTCAGATTCTACCGTGCCATTCTTTGTCATCTAGGGACATAGGAAAGGAAACAAGAATGTCATTTGGGCAGAGTCCAAAATCCCCACTTCAGGATTTCTGAAGAAGAGATGAGCTGTCATGCATGGAGACCGTGCAACCACAGAAGTCAGAGGAAGAAGAAACAACAGTGTCAAAATAACTGGCTTTTTAAATGCCATGGTCACAGCAGATTGTTTAATGCAACTCTTAACCTCCTCAAGTCAGTGACTATAGCCACGACTTCAGCAACCGTAGCATGCACAGACCAAAGGTTTCACAAGCCCAGGCCTGAGAGCTGTCTTTATCTCAGGTCACGGTGACACCTCTGATGTCAGAGGAAATGTGCCCTGGATCAGAGGTGACCGCATCTCAGTAGGAGCCATGACCACCTTACTCAGCAAACATCGTGTCCTTGAAGTAATATGTATGTATGTCTTTCAAGCCTTGGAAAAGCACGCATACGGGACGTAAGGTTGCTCTGTTCTGCTGAGATCACAAACACACTTATTACCCAGAACACTCCAAGAAGGAGGGCTTGATAGACGTAATCAGTCAGGTCAGCATGCTCTCAGTAAGACAAGGACATAGATTAGTGCTGGCAAGGACTCATCAACCTGCAATTGAGGCAATAAACTGGATTCTCAAAGGAGTGCATGCAAACGCCTGTGCAGGCTTTCTGTGTAATGGCTCGCATGGACACTCACTCCTTGCCTGTTTATAGTTCTTTTCTATATTAATCTCGTTCATCAGTAAGCCCTGGATATGCATTTCATCTGTTTTTTTATTATAAAAACACCGATTGTTTCCTTCTTACAAAACATTTAGGAAAAGTTTTCCCTGAACACGAACATGTTCACATATATCTATTTGGTGAGGAGCAGCCCAGCAATAAAGGCAGAAGCCGCATAAGAAATAAGTCAAGGACGTTCTAAATATGGAAAATGTTTTAATTGTTTAATTTATTACCCTCCACATTTCATTAATTATGGCCATTACCATGCCTGGTGATCTTGACAATTCTTCCATTAAATAGTGAAAATACTCTAGAGATCTCAGACATGCTTTCATCTTTATAGAAAGCAGTCCATATTTAGATAGAAATATTTGGTACAGGACAACAACCTTAGATTGTTCAACTCTGAGTGTACTGCAGAGAAACATTAAAATTAGATTTTAGCCTCCCTGTAGAGAAATTTCCATGAAGATTTCTCTCTCTCTCTTTCTCTCTCTCTTTTTCTCGATAATTCCTGGCTTGTCCATGTGAGTCTCAGCAAGATTCTGACTCCAGAACACGCAGATGCTCATTCCGGTACATTCTCCCCACGTCATCTCCATGTTTTAGAATGATATATATTATACATATCACACTATATTTTATTACACATGATATTATAATGCTACTTTGCGCAATTAGATACATTATCACAACAAAGTCTATAGCTTAGATGACCAGAGACAGATTTTGATAAAAGGAGACAGCTGTCATAAAATATACAAAATATAAAAATAAGACAAAGTGAGGCCAGGAGTGGCAGTACAAGCCTGTAATCTAACCCCTCTAAAAACTGAAGGAAAAGGAGTGTGAGTTTGAAGTCAGCCTGGGTAATATTGTGAAAACTTTCTCACCAAAAAGTAATAAAAAGAATTGATATTTTTAGGAAGCATACAAAACCATAGCAAGAGTGTTAGGGCAACATAACCAGTTGGCACCTAACAGTCAAGAAAAAAAAATAAATAATGGTATATCTGACTGATGATTCAGTTTACTCTGAATGTAAACGCCTTTAGACATAAGTTCCAGATCTTGTATAATTTATATTGTTTAGTTATAATGAGTAATTTCATTTCAAGATAAAAGTTTATTTATGAATCAAAATTCCTTCCCGCATAGCTACAAGCCGTTTTCACTCTTGTCAAGAGTGAGATGCTCTTGTGAGGTTTGACCCCCCAGCCCTTCAAGACCACTTTTAATGAAGACTGGGGACAATCGAGTTGAGCTTGGTCAATTGGTCATGTCTCCCAGCATCTGTTTTCTATGTTGCTTCTATTGGTTGTTCCCCCTCCCCCATTTCTACTATGAAGTACCTCACAGAAAGCTCCCTAAAAGAAGAAGGGTTTATTTGGGCTTACTGTTTGAGAAGGCACAGTCCACAATAGCAGGAATAGTGAGACAAGTTTTCATTGCTAAGAACACCAGGAAGCAGAGAGCAGGAAGTTCACATTCTGTGTTCCATAAGGTTATGTCACCTACGTGTAGACTAGGCCATCCTTCCTCACTTAAACTTCTCTGGAAACACTGCCCCAGATAAGTGTCTCCTGGGTAATTCTAAATCCAGACAACATGACAATAGAGATTAGCCATCCTGGTTGCCTTTGAGACATATTCTCTACCATGCCCTTTAACTGTAGTCTGTGTCCATTTTATTTTAAGGCTTAAACCATTCAATTTAATTATTCCTTAAGATCTGAGTGCTATAATTGTTGTTTTTAAATGTGATTTCCTTACTGAGAGCAATACAGGAGGAAGTTAAGAAGCTCCCTCTAACACCTATCTATTTTGCTCTCAAGATCTGGTGCAAAGATCCAGGGGCTGTCCCAGGATCGCCTCTTCTGCTACTGCTGAGACATTTAACTCCATGGCTATCTTCGTTGGTAAGAATATTCAGGTTCTATAAGACTTTTCTCCCATGAGTACTGCCTTCAAATGTTTTATTGATTTAAAGATTCTGTTGGTACCCAGTTACAATGCTGGGACAGTTTAATATGCTCATTTATTGATTGAATGATTTTAATATGGGATGTTAATTTGAAAGTACTTGTTATTGGGTATGCTATTTTAAATAGAAAATAACTTTTAGACATAGCATAGCATATGTTAGAAATAACATAGCATACACAATAACAAGTACTTTCAAATAAACACTTATTTGCGAGGTGGTTTTAAGCCACATAAAGCCTTCCAAATGGGAGAAAGTGTTTGCCAACCCTACATAAGACCGGGCTTTAATGTATAAAGCATTAAAAATTAAGCATTCCAAATTAAAATCATTCAGTCAACAAGTGGGCCTAACAACTGGTCAGTTCTTAAAGGAAGAAATACAAATGGTCAGTAATTACATGGAAAAAAAAATCAACATTCTTAGCAAGAGGAAAATGCAAATTAAACATACATTAATATTCCATTTCGCCCGGGGTCAGAATTTGTATAATTAAGAAAACAAATGATAGCAAACTCCGAGGAAGATGTCTGGAAAAAGAAACACTTATGCTCTGCTGGTGGGAGGGCAAGCAGTGCAGCCACTATGGAAACAAGCATAAAATCTCCTCAACAAACAGCACACAGAGCTCTCATATGATCCAGCAATTCCTTTCTGGTTATAAACCTAAAGAAACCCAAGCCAGTATGCCACAGTGATTGATACTTGTGCACCCATGTATGTTATAGCACTGTTTATGATAGCTAAGTTAGGAAACCAGCCAAAATTGTCTATTGTACATATTCCAATGATTACTTAATTTTGAAAAACAATAGAATTGAATCAGTTGGAGGAAAAGCAGATTCAGAAAAACAATTGTTTTTCTCATATGTTAATCTGAACTAGTAGGGATTTTTAAATATATTGTACGAGAATATCATTGTACATAGATACTGTCATATATGTAACACAGGAAGGAGAAGAGGGACAATATGAGGAAAGAAGGAAACTAAAGAGAGGCCACTGGGAGAAATAAAAAGATGTAACGGGGGAAGAAAGACAAACGTAGCCTCTCTTCTCTTATATGCAGAATCTGTCATCTATTTGTTTGTCTGTCTGACTGTCCATCTGTCCACCCATCCAGTCATCCATATATCATCTATCATGTATCCCTGTCAAGAAAGCAGAAAGACGGGCTTTTAGAATGACTGAAGGAAAGAACAATGATGAGAGGCACGTTAACGAAGTTCAATGATGCATGTATGAAAATGTCATGGTGACCCCCTTGGGGGTGCAGTCTTGCCAGGCCATAGAGGAAGATGATGCAGCCAGCCCTGAGGAGACCTGATAGGCTAGGGTCAAACAGAAGAGGAGGAGGTCATCCCCTATCAATGGACTAGGGAAGGGACGTAGGGGGAGAAGAGGGAGGGGGGTGGGTGGGACTAGGAAGAGATGGAGGGGGCTACAGCCAGGATACAAAGTGAATAAATTGTAAAAAAAAAAAAAAAAAAAAAAGAAAAAAGAAAAAGAAAATATCATAGTGAAACCCAATATATTTACACTACCTAAAAACAGTCATCAAAAAAATTAAAGAAAGAAAAAAGAGAAAAAGAAAAAGAAAGAAAGAAGAAAAGCCAGGCATGGTGGGAAGTAAAAGCAAAAGGGTTGTAAGTGAGAATCAGCCCCAGATATATACAAACAAGTTTCAAAAAAATAAGGCATGGAGATGTACCTTGGTAACAGAGCATTTAGCAAGCAACACACACAGGCACACACACACACACACGAAGGTATAAATACTGTCAAGAATCCTGGCCTTCAGTTCTGTGCTGGTTAGCCTAGAAAAGGAAGAAAGTGGAAGCGGAGACGGAGGAGAAGCGGTAGCGGCAAGTATGATGCAATAATAGCAAGTTGTTGACTGAGGAACCAGAAGCTATTCTGAGCGCTTTGCCCGCATCGGTGCCTCTGCCCTTTCAAAGCCTCCTAAGGTAGGCAGCGAAACGATATCTGTTTGCCTAGTGAGAAAACCGAGGCCCAGGAATGACAAATCACTTGCCCAAGATCACGAAGGTCACTAGGTCATGATCCTAAATAATCTAGCTACACACAGCCTGTACTGGCCACAGCCATGGCAAATGGATATATATCTTACATAATTAATGTTCTCCGGACAGGCATGTGCCACTTAGCGACCAGGTGTGCTGGTGCATGACCTGGTAACGATAGACTAGAATAGACAGACAAGGACTCTAATCATTTTAACTCCACTCAGAATGATTTCCAAGCTAGGTTTAACACACAACACTTGAGAACAC